GAAGCTACACGTAGCTTTGAGAAATTTTAATGGAAAGTAAAATTAAAAATGTGTTTCTTGTTATTTCTACCCACAACAAAATGGTCACCAGCCATCTATCTGTGCCAGTGACACCACAGTGCAGAGGGCAGACATACACTGTGTCTGTCACCAGGAGGGCACTGGCTTAGGACAAGCAGAAGGCGCCATGCTCACTCTGCTCGGGTATGTCTGCTGACCTCAGGTGAAATCAGTTTCCAGGGTATACGCTGTTGTGGGGATTAGGTGAGAGGGTACCTCATGTAACAACACGTAAGAGGTTCACTCTGCACCTACCCGAAAAGCCACCACTACTAACTACCCAAACTGCTCAGCAGAATAGAGGAAAATTCTGAGGCCCTCTGAGCTAGAATCTACATATTGGCTTACAGGATCAAGGTTTAGTTATGAAGAGCTAGAACCTATTTCCATCTATGGAATTCTGACTATCTTCATCAGAACCATTCACCCTCGATACGCTACTCACTGAGGGGACCTAACCCTTCCTTAATCTGCCATGATGTCTAACAGAGCTTCAGAAAGGCCCACCCCAAGAAAGCCCGTCGCCCTGCTCTGCTGCAGCCCTCAATAAAGTCATCTGCCCCACCGGCCAAACTGCAGACTCTTGTTTGCTTCATGAAGGAGAGAGCTGTTTGCAGGCCTTGAGTAGTTCTCCCGTTTCCAAAATTAGCTCTTCCTGCCAGCTCACCTCAAACAGTCTCTGTGCTCACAACACACGTAAGGCTCAAGAGCCTCTGCGCCCCCCCCCCCCCCCCAGGAGCAGTGAGAGCATGCCCGACCACCTCCCTCGCAATTGTGAGTGTGGGGAATGGATGGACAGGGTGAATCCTCTCAAATGGAAGGGGGCTGGCCCAGCGACAGCAGCGAAGCTAACACTCAGCACCAAGCAGTCACCTCCACAGCTCTGCGCAGGCTTCTTCTCCCACGGCCTCAGCAACGTAAAGCCTAGGCTCCGTCTTAGGTACTTTAACACCTCTCTCCTTAAAACCTGTTGGCGCAATGCGCCTGGGGATGCATGTAAGCTGCGGTCGACCTCAAGCACCCTTCCCGGAGCCACCCAGCGTGCCTTCAACGGAGTCTCCGACTGGGTCAGAGGGCCACAGGTTAGACCAGGTTACCTGGGAGGCAAGCATCCCTCCTGCCTCCACCTCCCTCAGCAGGGATTCATGATCTGCTGCAACACCCGGCCTTTTCCACGCATTCTGGGGAATCAAACCCAGACCTTCCATGCAAGCACTTCAGCATTTACTGTGAACATTGAACTTCAATGTGAAAAAGAAGATTCAACTCCATCACTACAGTTTCAAGTAACTTATTAGGCTGTAAACAAAACACCCAACTGTCGCATGGCACCTAGGAGGAGCGTTCAACCAATGCCATCAAAATGGTGAATTAACTTCCAAACTCTGCTAGATTTGTAAGGTCATAAATTTCAGTAGCTAAAGCTTCTGAGTTAAAACCTGGACTGATGGCCCAGCAATTAAGGGCAGCTGTTGCTCTTGCAGAGGACCTGGGTTTGACTGTCAGTGTCCAATTGTGGTTCAAACCTAACAAAGATCCAACAACTTTTTCTGGCCTCTGGGAAACCAGACATGCACACAGGACACACACATAAATGCAGGCAAAAAAAGAACTAAAAATTACTGTTAAAAAAAATCTATCCCCAGTTACTTGACAGCATATTTCCTAAGAAACACTTAAGTTGCCTGGTGTGGAGTCCCAGCTACTGAAGAGGCTGAGGCCAGAGGATCTCTAGAGACCAGGAGTATAAGGCCAGCCTAGGCAACACAGTGATGCTCCTAACAAGTCAGGAGCCTCCCACAGAGGGCCTCTGAAAGGCTCTGCCCTGCAGACTATCAAAGCAGATGTTGAGACTTATGGCCAAACTTTGGGCAGAATGCAGGGAATCTTATGAAAGAAGTGGTAAATAATAGAGCTGGAGAGGACAGGAACTCCACAAGGAGAGCAACAAAACCAAAAATTTTGAGCACAGGGGTCTTCCCTGAGACCCATACTCCAACCAACTACCAGGCATGGAGATAACCTAGAACCCCTGCACAGATGTAGCCCATGGCAGTTCAGTGTCCCACTCATCTATTTGCTCTTCAGTAACTCTGACTAATCTTTGGATCCCTTGAGGGACCAAAGGTAACTTAAAGCTAGTCTATCTATCCATGGAGTTTTGAAGGTGTATCTGTTCAGTAGCACTCAAGCAAGGAAGAACCCTATGTATCCTGACGATGATGATGAGTCAGGACTCCAATTCCATGCTCTAAGGCATGTTACCTATTACCAAGATTCACTCCAAAACACATACTGCTTCTGACGTTCAAACAGTAACCAATGAGAAACTGTTCAGTCACTGTACCAGAAAAGGGAGTAAGGCACACTATCACGCTGTTGGCTATTAGGCTCCATAATTCTTCCTAGATAAAGAAAATAAACTTCCGGCTCTGGGAAGCTAGTTCAGTTGATAAAGTGTTTACCACGTGAGTACGAGCACTTGAATTCAATGCCCGAACCACGTAAAAGCAAGGCATATTGATGTTCAACTACAACCCCAGTTAGCTGGTCTGCCAAATCTGCAATCTCCCAGTTCAGTGTGAGGCCGTAGACAGACAGAGAGACAGACAGACAGATAAAAAGAATGAAGAGGAACTGAGGAAGATAGCCATATTCACATCTGGCCTACACACAAACTCTTATGCATGTACATAAAAGTCTCCCATGCCTGGGTAACAAACAGCATACATACACTGTGTTTGTCTATGTATGCATGCATGAATGTATGATTGTCTGTGTGCACAGAAGTCTCTGTGTGTATGCATGTATGTATGTATTTGACCAAGAAGCATAAGGATGTAGGTTCAATCATTAGTATTTTAAACAGCACCTCCCCGCTCCCCAGACTTCCTTAACTACTTCATTAAATTAGTTACTAAAAACAAACCAAGAAATTACTGGAGCTGGAGGGACTCTGTGGTTCAAGCACTGGCTCCTCTTCTTAGACTCAAGTTCAGGTCACAGCACCACACCAGCTACGCCACAACCAGCTGTAACCCTGGCCCTAGGGGATTCAACTCCCTCTTTGCCCTTCAAGAACAATAAATTCACGTGCACATACCTAATACAGAAACACATATAAACAAAAATAAATAATCAGTAATGGGGCTGGAAAGATGGCTCAGAAGTTAAGAGCACTGGCTATTCTCCGGGATTCAGGTTCAAATTCCTGCACCTACATGGCAACTCACGGATATCTGTAATGCCAGCTCTTGGGTATCTGACACCCTCTTCTGGCCTCCACAGTTACTGAATAGACATGGCACATAGACATGGATGTAGGCAAAACACCACACACATAAAGTAGATTTTAAATAGTAACAATGTAACATAATGCTGTTATCTTTAGATGTGAGAAGACTGAAGCTTGTCTCTTCTCTATACAAAGTAGAAACAGAAGAGACTGAGAATCTCGGATGACAGAGGAATTTTGATTATTTAGAAATCCACAGGGCAGAGGCAACAGAAGTACCCTGTTTACAACACCCATCTCCAGCGCACACCTCACGGCTGGGTATGGTGGTGCACACGTGCAGTCCCCGAGACTGGGAAGCTGAAGCAGACGATGGTGATTTCCAAGCCAACCCAACCCTGGTACTTCAGAAGTCTGACTCAAGAATTAACCATAGATATTCTCACCTTAGGCGGCTCCTGACATACCTGTTCTGCTTAAGTATTTTCAATCAGGACACAGATGAGAACGTAGAAGACATGTCCACATGACAAAATAATGTCACAACCTCCCTCGAGTGACCCTCTGTTCCAGTGGCAACTTGATGTTATTATGGAATGATATCCCTTCTGAAAGAGGAGATCTACTTTATGTGTGGTGTTTTGCCTACATCCATGTCTATTCAGTACCTGTGGAGGCCAGAAGAGGGTGTCAGATACCCAAGAGCTGGCATTACAGATATCCGTGAGTTGCCATGTAGAATTTGAACCTGAATCCGGGAGAGTAGCCAGTGCTCTTAACTTCTGAGCCATCTTCCTTATTTGCGTTTTGAAAGCTAGGCTCCGCTTCCAGAAGTTAAATGAAGGGCTGTAAAGCCAGACCTCCACTCCAGACAACCGGATCTCCACAAGCAGCCACTTACCCACTCACCTTCAGCATCAAGTGTGAGCTCCAGAAAAAATTGCAAACACTTAGTAGGGCCCAAAAGCAGCCACCAGAAGACAATGAAGAATACTTTTGTTCTGAAGAGCCAAAGTTCACAGGTAGTACAGTTTTCCCCAAACTACCGCTGTGTCGAATTCTGTTGAAATGGTGACCTGTTAGGAGGTATCTGGGTTCCTCAGCATCCCTCTATCACTACCGAGGAAAATGTGTTCACAGCTATATCAGAATCAGCACAATTCAACACAAGACCCACGTTACACAGTGACATAAAGACCAGCGCTCACTTTGGACCTGTTCCGTAGGAAGCACTCAGCACTATGGTGCGTCCTCTCCGCTCTGAGCAAACTCCAGCCAGGGCTCATTCCCCTCAGTCGCAGAAGAGCTGCTGCCCTCGAACTGGTGTGAAAACTAAACATCTGTGCTGCAGCACACAGCAGGGCTAGGCCTCAGTGTGCAGAAGGTGAAAGCACGTGAATGTGTGTGGTGGCAGGGCTCACTTCATGGGAAGATGGAGAGAAACGGATCCTTCTCAAAAGAACACCTCACACGTGTACCTAATTTCCCTCACAAACTTCGGAACTCGAGCCAAGTTTCACAGAAGACTTGGATGAATATTAGACAACTTTATCGGTGTTTCTAAAATTCAAATAAAAAAGATTACAGCTTGAAATTTAACTACAGAGGTTTTTCTCAAAGGTTTAGCAACACAAACAAATGACACCAATTATCCCTCCCTCCTCTCCACCACAGGTGACTGGATCTGAGTAGGAAAGCAGAGAAATCTTATATCAAATTCATTTAATTAACTATAAACGGGACTGCACTTTAGAAAAACTGGTGCAACACAGTATGTGTCTGCATGTAAGAAAAGTGCACATCTTCCTGCTCAAGAAAAAATATTTCTTTGTACAAGTGTTTTGGGAAAAAGGCTTAGCGTTGTAAGGATTAAAATATGGCAACACAGTCTGTCGGTGGAGGAGCACTAGCTCTCAGGGAGTCACGGTTGTCAGCAGATGGCCTCTCAGCTCCAACCCTTAGGGACATTTGGAGTCTCAGATGCTCAGTCACTGGCCGACCCTGCCCTGCCTCCAGCAGGCTCATCGCTCTCCTTGTCCCAGTCCTTCATGCTGGCTCCCATCATGAAATCATCTCGCAGAATCTTCCACCCTGGGCCCTCTTCTGATTTCACTTCCGTCTGAGAAAAATTACAGAGCCAAAAATTCACAAATCAATTTAACCAGAAAGAAATATTTAAAATTGTACACTTCAAAATAAACTTTTCAATATGTAGTTTTAAATGAGATTAAACTAAGATAATAAAAAATTGATTTTATATACTGTGCTCATATATATACAAATACAGAGTAAAGTGAAAATTTCCAAGTCCACCAATGAAACATGAAAGCAAAATAATTTAGAGCTGGGAAAAATATAGTAAAATATAGATTTGGTAGCAATTCAGACACATTAATTAAACCTCAGTGATGCCTTATTAGAAAAATCCTTGACAACTGTTTTAATGGAGTCATTAACCCCAACTGCACTAACAAGAGAAGATGGGCAGGTGCTCCGGACAGTACCCCATCCAGACTTTGTAAAAATGTGAATAAACAAGCTCTCATTACCCAGCACAATCATGGAATCACAAACTAGTAAGATGACAAAATTACAGATAACTGAAGCAGGCGACAAACTTAGTAGCCGATTCACTGCATGCAGTCACAGGACCGATGTGACGCCTGGAGCTCTGTACACAGGCTTCCTCTGCAGGGCAACAGCACCACCTTGTGGGATTACGTAAGTACTGCAATACATTTCTCGGACATTAACCATTGTCCACCTGGGTCTCAGTGCCACAGCTATTATCTATGCAATAAGCATTTTAAAGGAAAAAAGACATCAAAATGTTTGCAAGGTTTCACAAGCCAATTACATAACTCTGCTAAAGCTTGTCTTTTCTTAAGGACACTGTTTACATATTAAGAGGAAAAATGTCCTACTGGAATCACTTGTAGATTTGTAGGACGAACAACTGAAACGCAGCTTGCACCCAAGCACATCCTGGAGACATGGCAGCATATAAGCTTGAAAAGATGGAGAAACCTCCACAGTGTTTCTATATCAGACACTGTGCTAGAATTTACCCAGCACTGGAACCAGAAACACTTGTGCTGTTTGTAGCATGACAATGCAGTGCTTGCTTGTCAGGCTGCAAAGCAGGAGGCAGAGCTCCCCTCGGCTGTGTAGCCAGGCCCTCTGACTTTGGGATTCGCCAGCCAACCCTCAGAAACTGATGCTCCGCCGCTGCCATTGCAGGCCTTTTCTGACTCGGAATTAAAGATTGCTCACGGTGTGTTACATACGCCCTCCAGACAGGCTCAGTTCTCAAAATTATGATATTTTAAATACACTTCACGATGTATGATTTGAATAGCTGAAATTCTTGTTTAAGGGATAAAATACAGCAAGTCTAACCTTCAGGAACAGGCAACAAGCTTCACTTCAGTTTTCAAGTGGCCATTACAAACACCAAGGAGGGAAGCTAAAGCAAGACAAGAGGCCCCCAGTGATGAGGCCCCAGTTCAGCGACAGGCCTTCTGCTATAGACAAGGATTCATCTGTCCACCTCTGGCCTCCACACACTAGCTTGTGGGTGAGTGTACCAAAAAAACCCACGTGACACAAAGAAACACAGCAGTGCCCCAGGGCCACTGTACGCAACTATGCATTAAAGGCCACTGAAGTGATTTGCACAAACTGTGAAGATGAGGACGGTTCTTGCAGTGTGGAGCAACGCCACCTAAGAACAGACACGCCGACAGCCAGGTGGCGCTGAGGAAGATAGGGCGTTACCATTAGTCCAACAGCAAGCACTTTAACGGCTCCACCTCACCCCATCTGAAAGGGAGAGAACGTCAACCCCCAAGGGAAAGTCACATCTAAATTCAGCAGTCACCAACAAGTGTATGTCGACTGACTCATAACACTGAGCTTTACTTTGATTTTAGCTAAACTGAACGGTTTTACTTCTGGGTAATTTCCTCTCAATTCCAATAGCAAACTATTTCCAACCACAGCTGTCCATCTACTGCTAACTAGCCTGTTGCAACATTCTCCCTGGGAGATGAAGGACACACAGGGAGTCCCTTCACATCTGAAAGCATGTAACATGGAATTAATTCAGCCTTTCCTCTCACAAGTGGAAACGTACATCGACGGCTTTTCATCCTGCAGGACATCCTACCACCTCACTGGTCCTAACACAGAAACGGTCCTCATGAATGCACAAAAGCTCGATTAAGACCCCACACTAGAGGGGAGACTGTGGACAAGCATAGCAGCATACTGCCAGTTTTCCCTGGGCCTCAAAGAACTGTTAGCAAGTGACAGCCAAGGGTCCTGATGGGTTGCTCCCTCTCACATCTTCCACAGTCTTGCTGTAATTTGCTTTGCCCGTTTTTGCAAGGTAATAAATAGTGTAGGCAGTAAGATCGCTGGGGCTTCATTTTTTAACTCCTCATTTAGTTTCCAAAGTTCTGTGAGGGGCATGGTGACACAGCCTATGTTCCCAACACCTGGGACGCTGAAACAGCATATCATAAATTCAAGGCCACTCAGAGCTATTAAGGGAAAGTCCACCCAAACAAGCAAGCAAACAAACATGTAGTTTCCACATTTCAGATGGGTAATTTATGAGATCCAAAATTACCAGACAGATAAAGAATGCTCCAGAGAGAACGAGAGAAAAAACTTCCAGCTACTAAGATTCAGCTGCCTTTAATAATAATCCAAGTACATTTGAAATGGACATACTTTTCAGAGAAAGCCTAATTCCCCTGTCCATGGCTATTACTGAAGCCTAGGCTCTGCTGATCCCTGCTTGGAGCCAATGAGCTGTTTCTGCTGTGACCTCCTTGTCCGCCCTACTCAACAGTCCTCACTCAAGGCTGTCCTGTGCGGCTTCTATCCCACGTCACTCTCGTGTGTCGAGTCCCACAGGACTCAATTTTAGGTGATATTCATATAGTACTGATACTCCCGGCCATTCACAGGCTCTTACAGTTTTTGTTAAGGGAAAGTTCACTAAAGTAACCAAAAGCCAAACAATGCATCTCATGAGTGTGCTCTACACATTTGCACACTAAACTAGCAGTCTGAAACACCTAAAATTTGTACTCTGCCAATTAACCCTACTTTATTGCACAAAATAAAAGGAAAACCCAGATTTACAACTAAATCAGCACACTGTGAATTCATGTATGGAAATAAGAAGCCGATCCAATGTCTAAGGAGATTAGTTTGCTGAAGAGTCTGAATGAGCAAACCTGTTTGAAAGGGCTCTTTTCCAGTGCTGAATCCAAATAAAGAATATGAATATAAAACAATATATATTAAACTCAACAAAAGACTTAAAAACACACAGATTGCTCCTATCAGAGCTCCTTGGAGAATGTGATATATATTAAACTCAACAAAAGACTTAAAAACACACAGATTGCTCCTATCAGAGCTCCTTGGAGAATGTGATTTTAGGGGTAGGAGAGTGAAAGCAAAGATTTGGGCTGGATATCAAGTCCCAGCACATGAAACCCTACAATAAAAACTGGGACTACACCTAAAGAGCACAGGGATCAGGGTTCAGGCACTCCTGTTGCCACATTTGCAAAGAGAAGGTAACTGACTGAAAACACTAAACAACTAAGAATCCCACATCTGTGGCATTTGAAAAGATGGACACAAGTCAAAGGGAGGCAGCTCCCTTGCCAAGGATGGAAGCGACTGAACAGTCTTTGCACTCCAGAGGGTGCAGCCTGAAAGGGAGAGACATCAATTTCCATCTTTAGAAAATTCAACACATCCCCATGTTAGCTAGTCAACTGGACTGCAAGGAGACAATTAACCCCCAACGCCATGTCTCATGCAAATATCAGTCAGTAACCGATGCTAAAGTACAAAAGGCAGTGAGCCAAATTTACTCCTCCCCTAGTGTGCATCCCCGAACCACATGCTACCTGCTGGGGAGGAGGCACAAACCTCTGTCAAGGAAACTGATTACTTGCCTGCCCCACTACCCAGACAAAACTACCTGCAACCTTCTGCCCACACCCCCGATGTACTACCATACCGCATTAAAGTAGCACGCCTGAAAATCAACTGCATCAAAAAAGTTCGACACACACCCCACCAGCATCTTGGTTCCTACTTTCAAGCTTACAATTTAAAAGGCACCATGAGAAAAAATTGGATAAATGAAAAACCATGCATCCACTATTAATTCTTCAAAGTCAGTGGTGGGTTTTTGTTTCTGTTTTGTTTTTTTCAGTTGCTTTACTGGTCTAGAATAAATGACAATAAAAAACAAATACAGCATGTTAACCTTGACTGGATTTTGGTATTCAAAGTTATAAAGAAAAATCTTCTGAATTGTGTGGTATGTGAATTATATCTCTAAACCTGTTTTTTAAAGGGATCTTTGGTGTACACATAGCTATAGCCTTCAATTATCAGCAAACAGAATTTATATGGGGAGAAAGATGGACAGACGAAACAGAAACAAAACAAAGATGGGTGAGTAAGTTAAGAGAATTACTAAAAGAAGCAGGCATCCCTCACTGTACTACCAACTAAATGTCCTTCCTATTTAGAAGTTTTCATAAGGAACTGTGTAAGAAGGTAGTCCACAATTTATATTTGGTGTACAATGGCTAAATTTTTAAAAATGTACCTGCTTTCTCGAAAACCTTAATTTCTTGCAAAAACAACTAAAAAGCCAATCTTAACAAGTAAATTTACAAAGAATTTTCTACAGGAGTTCTATTATCTTCTACATCAAAAATGGATGAGAGAGCTAAGAAAAATTCATGCTTGCAGCTGCCTCCCCAGACCTCTTTCTAGTCTGTCTCTGGGTAACAAGGATGTGCACCTCAATTCTGTTTTACCAGAGTGAGAGGAGCTGGGAAGTTTTCTGTTCTCATTCCCATGACATCCGGCACGTCAGGTGTGTGCCGGCCCAGGCACCTGCAGCTACAGCAGGAACTCAGCGCCACACTGCATTTGAACTGAGATTCCACTGAACACTACTGAGGTGAGCAGATGACTGACTTGTCTTTTCAACTCTAAGATGGAATTCACTACTTCTAAAATCAGCAGCTGTGTGAAGGACCTTGCACCCTGCCTAGCACACAGGGACCTGCT